TATATATATATATATATATATATATATATATATATACATACACATACACAGGGTATTGCGTTTCAAATGATCATCCCTAAAAATTTTCTTTGCAATTTTAGAGAAGAAAATGTGAAACAACTTTTCAATGTCAAATCAATAACACCATTTTATGTCCTCCTCTATATCATACAACTTTTATCTGAAACATTTTTCTCTAAAATTGCAAACAGAAAATTTTTGAGTGATGATTGTTTAAAATGTAACACTCTGTATATATGCAGAGTTCATCAGTGTAGTTGAACCAATTTTGTACCCTATGAGAAAATTATCGACTACACACCTAATTATCAACTTAACGATATAAGTCAGATGCATGGATAACGTAATGCACGCTGCTGGTTGAACGCGAAAACATATGTTTGACGTTGAATTGTGAAAATAGTTACAAAATTTTATTTTTATTACACGTGAAGATATTAAAAATGCGCCTTTTTCTCAATGCGTCCAAACCAGCAATTCACATAATGTATTCACGCATCTTATCTGTATTGTCAAGTTAATTAAATGTGAAATTGATAATTTTCTCATAGGGTAAAAAACTGGTTTGATTACTCTGATTCACCTTGTGTGTGTGTGTGTGTGTGTGTTTGCATGTTTGCGTGCGCGCGCGCTCGCGCACTAGATCTTTTTGACTCAGTTTTTGATCAGAAACAGTGCTATACAATTCGTGGACAAACTTTAAGAAACACTTTGTGTGTGTATATATAATCTATGATTATATATCTCTTAGATGAGAAAATAGAAGAAATTTTTTAAATGAATACCTAAGTTGAAACGTTGATTAATCATAATGGATGAAACTATTTTAAGGCTCATCAAAGATTGAAGATTACCAAGGATCATATAATTAAACCTAAGGATGAAATAGTAAATGATAGAGACAATGTTAAAAGAGGAAATAAGAAGATACCTGGATATTTGTTTTGCACAATTCATTCCCATGAACAGTTATCTTTATTTTGTCAAACATGTGATAGACTGACTTGTAGAGACTGTCAACTTAGTGAACATCGTGACCATAAATATAAATTTATTCATGAAATTGCAGCCGAAACTCGTACTTCCATGTCGATTTTGCTTAAAGAAGTAAGGTAGGATTTATAAAGTAGCAATCAATAAAATATTAAAGGATTATAAATTTAAGATACAAACAATATTTTTTAGTTACAAACGGGTATTATTAAAAAGTGCGATGAAAGTTATAGAAGATAGACAGATTCTAATATTGGAGAAGAAAAAAAGTCTAGTTCAAGATATAACACAAATGGTAGTACAGTAAGTATATATTATAAATCAGGATCCAGAAGAACATGATCATAAGGCATGCGCGAAGAACTGCGGAGTTAGTCGCATACTTGCTGAAGTGAAATGGCAACATTTCGGTAAACATATGGCTTACTTAATATAAACAAATCGCGTAGCAATTCTTCGCATGCACCTCGTGATTGTGTCCGAACGTTCCGGCCCTAATTATAAATACATATGCATTAAGTGCATACACATATATATGTATATTTGCATTAAATATATAATTCGATTAGTCACTTATTCTTGTATCTTATTCTTTTTGTATCAGATTAACAAATGCTATTAATACAAGAGGAAAGCAATTGGTGATGAGGTTAAATGAAGTGTGTGATCAAAAACAGAATACATTAAATGAGAAAAAAGTTGCTTTAGATCAATTGTCTAGACTTACAGATCATTGTATACTTTTTGGTACTCATGCTTTGAAAAAAGGATCGGACATGGAATTATTATATAGTAAAAGGTATACTGAAATTATAGATATCTGTTACACACACACACACACGCGCGCACACACACACACACACATGCATATGCCCTAAGATGGAGCATTTGAAATATTACTACAAGCTGTTATCTTTAAAAGTATGCAATATAGCAAAACATGCCTCAGAGAAAAGTTATATAATTTGAAGGGGATTGAATAATAGTGATTTTTAATTTTTGAAAAAATTAATTTTTTAATATATGAAACAATTTTAATGTTGAATTTTTAAAACGAAATACTCTACATTTTATATCAGATTGGATGACATTGAGATATTTCCAAAATAATATAATTAAACTTTATTTGGTTAAGAGCTTCGTATTAATCAACCTTTAAAATTGTGGTAGCGCTGATATTATTCAAGATGTATCGCACGAAAGATATATCTCTCTATATGTTAATTAACAATGTGTATGGACAATATAACCGCACATATTTGATTATCTTGAACATTTTGAAAATGTCTCGACGAGCTACAAGAATATGCAAAGTATTTTCAAAGATAACAGCTGCAACACTTTAAATGCCTCATTTTATATATATATATTCACACATAATAATATTACAGATCTGTTACAAGCCATTTACAAAGAATAAAAAGTAGACGAGCTGATATTCCAAATCCTGAAATACCTGTCAGGATACATTTATCTTTAGAAAAAGTACCAGATTTAATAAAAGGTTTGTAACACTAAACCATTTTTTATCTGATTTTTTACTTTTATACTTTTGCTTTGTTTTTTACTGTATAATTAATTTAATCCATAATTAGTGATTTAATCTTGAAATTAGAAAATCACTCGGTTATATTTTACATGTAAGCATAATTCAATTTGTATTACTTCTACAGTGGTGTCATCAATCGGGGCGATAGTCGTCGATGGTAGAGTATATCCGTCCATATCTCCTGTGGCTGCTAATAACAGCACAGTGTCTTATAGTGAGTCACAAGCCGAACAAAAGCAAATTACGAATTCAATAAATAATACTCACCCTGATGGTGTTATGCCTGTTGTCATTCAGCAGGGATTACCATTACCTGTAATGGTAACACAACAATCCACTAACGCACCACAGAATTCTTATCAGCAACAAGCGTCTCTGCATCTTCCACAGCAGCAGCAACAGCAGCAGCAGCAGCAGCAACAACAACAACAACAGCAGCAGCAGCAGCAACAACAACAGCAA